CCTACATAACAGCTGGGGGGATTAAAATCTCAATTTCCCAAGTGGTGCGTAGCCTAAGAAATTCTCGAGATTTCCCTGTTTTGACCTTTATTGAAGTGCCCCTTGTTAGCTGGAAGGGAAGCGCCCAGCTCCACAGCCCTTGGCCTTGCTTCTGTTTGTGGGTGGCCGGCAAGTCCGCAGAGCTGTGTCCCAGCCCTGGGCATCGGCTCGTGTCCTCGCCGTGACGGTCACCTCGGTGATGCCCACCGAACTTCACGTGCTGGGAGGCAGCTCGGTCCCCGCCGGCAGCATCCGCTCTGCGGCTGTGCGTGGCCGAGGTGCCGATCCCGTCTTTGCCGTAGCGAGGAGAGCTACACCGTCATGAACTACGCCATGCTGGACCAGATCATGGTGGAGAAGATCAAGAACATGGACCCGCCTTCCCCGCCTCCCAGCAAGACCGGGAGTGGTGGCCTGGCCCGTGGCCCAGCCAGCGGGTACCTGCTCCGGGTGGTGATGGAGAAGGACAGCGAGGGCAGGCGGGAGGAGATAGTGCTGTCGGCAGAGACGCTGTGAGTGGCCTGGTGGGATTTCACAGGGTGCACGTTCTTGCTTGTGGGATAAACTGGTGCCCTGGAAGTCCCCGAAGCTCCTGTGAAGCACCCTTTCCGTCCCCGTGCCTCCTCCCAGAAAGGGGGTCTGCACGGGCTTGTCCCCTTGCTCCGTTGCCTTCTCTCTCTTAGATTTCCCTTGTAATTCCCATATAATGCTTCCCTGTGCACATTAAGCAAAGTGGCTGGGCGATGTATAGCGCTTGTGAAGTATCTTTATGTTGAATGCTCTGAATGTGATGCTCATTCAGGCTGACTTCCCTCAAAAGCCTTCCTCTTTCCTGCTGGGAATTTCCCAGCTACTGCTGGCAATGCGGATGCTGAGTCTAAGGCTTTCTTCATAATGTGGGCTTCCCCTCTGCAGGAGCGACCGGGCCCGGTGGATTGCTGCGCTGATGCACAGAGAAAAGGAAAAGCATGACACCACTCCCAAAGGAGGTACGGGCATGCTGGAGGCCAGGCCCGGCTGCGCGGGGACGAGCGGTTGCGCTAGAGCCGGAGCAGGTGCAGGCACGGGTTTTTACCCCGTTCTCATCCACTCCTGCTGGAGAAGGGGCTGAGTATGTGTGTCGATGGAGAGAGCTCCAGGTACCACACCTTGCTCGTTAGGAGCTGCCTCCTGTGATGTTATCAGTCACAATAAGCCTTAAATTCATTTCTTAGGAGGCACAGT